ATACTATTGTGGTGCAAAAGCATACTTAGGTATGATTTCAATCTGCTAAGACTTGTTTTGTCACCTATCATATAACCTATCCTGGAGAATGTTGGTATACTTTAGAAGAATGTGTATTTTGCTGTTGTTAGATGGATTATTCTTTTTATGTCTGTTAGGTCTGTTTGGTCTAAAGTATGGTTCAAATCCAACCTTTCCTTGTTCATTTCCTATCTGATTTAGTCATCTATTGAAATCCCTTACTATTATTGTCTTATTGTCTATTTCTCCCTTCACATCTGTTAGTATCTGCTTTGATGTGGGGTGCATGTATATTTATGATCATATCTTTTTCCCCCTCTGTTTTATTTTAATTCCAGCATAATTAACACAGTGTTATATTAGTTTCAGGTGGTTGTTGTATCTTCTTGATTAATTGATCCCTTTACCGTTGTATAATGACCATCTGTGTTTCTTGTTACCATTTTTGGCTTAAAGTCTATTTTGTTTGTTGTAAGTATAGTTACCCATGTCTCTTTTGGTTTCCACTTGCATGGATTATCTTTTTCCATCCCTTCACTTTCAGCTTATGTATGTGCTTCAAGCCAAAGCAAGTCTCTTATAGTCTCTTATAGTATAGGCAGCATATAGTTGATCTTGTGGGTTTTTTTTTTTTAAATCATTCAGCTTTTTGTCTTTTGATTAGAAAATTCAGTTCATTTACGTTTAGAGTAACTATTGATAGGTAAGGATTTATTAATGCCATTTAATGTTTTCTGGCTGTTTTGTAGTTCCCTTGTTCCTGTCTTGTTTTCTTCCTTTGTGTATTGATGATTGGTCATAGTATCTTTGATTTTTTTCTCTTTTTTTTTTGTGAAGCTGCTGTGGGTTTTTGCTTTGTGGTTACCATGAAATTCACATGAAACATATCTGTAGCAGTCTATTTTACACTGATAGCAGCTCAACTTTGATCACATATAAACACCCTATCCTTATTTACCCTCCTCACTTTAGGTTTTTTGATGTCACCATTTATATCTTTTTATATTTTGTATCCACTAACAAATTGTTGGAGCTACAGAGGTTTTCAGTACTTTAGTCCTTTAATCTTTATACTAGAATTAAGAAGTGAATACATCACCATGTTACAGTTTTAGGGTATTCTAAATCCGACTATATGCTCACTTTATCCATGTGTTGTGTATTTTCATGTTACTAATTAATGCCTTTTTATTTCAGCTTGAACTTCTTTCAGCATCCTCATAAGGCAGGTTTAGTGGTAATAAATCTTCTCATCTTTGTTTATTAGGAAAGGTCTTTATCTTGCCTTCCTTTCTGAAGCACATTTTTTCTGGATAAAGTATTCTGTGTTGGCAGTTTCTTTTTTTAACACTTTGAATGATCCCATTCTCTCCTGGCCTGTAAGATCTCTGCTGAAAAATCTGCTGATCGTTTATGGAAGTTACCTTGTATGAGAGAGTTTTTTTTTCTTTTACTGCTCTTAAAATTCTTTCTTTGTCTTTTTATTATTATGTGTCTTGGAGAAGATTATTTTTTTACTTTTTTATTTTTTTTTAAAGATTTTATTTATTAGAGAGAGAATGAGAGATAGAGAGCACGAGAGGGAGGAGGGTCAGAGGGAGAAGCAGACTCACTGCTGAGCAGGGAGCTCGATGCGGGACTCGATCCCGGGACTCCAGGATCATGACCTGAGCCGAAGGCAGTTGCTTAACCAACTGAGCCACCCAGGCGCCCTTGGAGAAGATTTTTTTAGATTGAAATTTTGAGTACCAATAGCTTCATGAACTTGAATGTCCAAATCTCTCCCCAGGTTTGAGTAATTCTCAGCCATTATTTCTTTAAATAAGCTGTCTACCCCTTTCTGTATTCTCCTTCTAGAGAAGGATCCAGTGATACATACATGATTTTTCTTGTTGGTATTCCATAAGTTCCATGGGCTTTCTTCATTCCTTTTCATTCTTTTTTCTTTTTGCTCCTCTGTGGGTTAACTTCAAGTTATTTGTCTTCTAGCTTATAGATTCTTTCTTCTGCTTGTTCAGATCTTCTTTTGAAGCTATAGTTGAATTCTTCAGTTCAGTCATTGTGTTCTTCAGCTCCAAAATTTGTTTGGTTCTTTTTTATGTTTTCTAAGTCTTTATTGAACTTCTCACTTCATTCCTTTGTTGTTTTCCTGATATCATTAAATTGCCCATCTCTGTTCTTTTGTAGGTCTCCTGAGCATCTTTAGGACAATTCTGAATTTTTTTCATTAGGCAATTCCTGGTTCTCCATTTCTTTGGGGCCAGTTACTATAGGTAGTGGAATCATGTTTCCCTGATTCTTCATGATCCCTGTATCTTGCATAGGTGTCTTCACATGAAGAAGCACTACCTCTTCCAGACTTTATGGACTGACTTTGGTAAGGGATGACTTTGACCTGTGGTGGAGGTATGCTGCAGCTTGCTGTGATCCTGGGCCTAGTGGTGTAGGGCACCAAGTGCAGGGCTTTGTGGCAGCACTGGGTTTAGGTTTAGGGGACATGATGTCTCTTTGGCCCAGGCCACTGGGGTCTATGGCACTGACAACTGTGTAGTCCTTGAGGTGCTACAGGGGGTCCATAGTGGCTGCAAGGGCTTTGGGGGGTCTTTAGCGACCTCCAGGTCCAGCAGCTAGGGAGCAGGGCAAGCAGCAGTGGTGACTGGAGCTGGGACACATAATTGGCTGTCGGGTGCCAGCTGTGGATGCCTGTGTAGTGGCAGGGGCCATTTGCAGACACACACATGGTGGTGGGAAGCAGAGAAGGCAAGGGCCAGGGCCAACCATGGGCTCACTGGCAGCTGCACAAGGCCCTGGTTGTTGGTGTGTCCTCCTGTGGCTGCACACTCTCCACTGCACACTGCAGTGGAGGCCTTTGATGAGGGTTGGGCCATGTGCAGATGCACAGCTGGAGGGGCTAGTTCCAACTGCATGAACGGGGAGGGGTCAGCCAGAGGGTGCCTGTGCTGGCATCTTGCACTCCAGCAGCTGCAGAGTTCTGAGCTGGCTGCCGGCGTAGTTCCCAGGCTCTGGCGGGGATGTGGGGAGGGGAGGCTGGGCAAGGGGCTCTGATGCTTGGCATCATGAATGCCTGTGGGATGAACACTGATGAAATCTGCAGGGGGTACCCAGTGGCCACAGCCATCCTGGCCCTTGGCTTTGGCTCAGGGGTAAGATCTGCCAGGTTTGTCTGCAGAGCAGGTGTCTACACACCACAGTCACTCCGACTGTAGCCCCTACTTTGCTTCCGTGTTCCTAGCTGGCCTTATACACTTCAGCTTTGCCGGTCTGGGTGGGAGGAAACGGAAGTGGGACCTTTGTGGACTGCCCCAAAAGACTGGAGAAGCTGGTTGCTGTTCCTTCCTGGCCCGGGGATCTCTTTCTGGCCAGGAAGTTCCCTCTTGACACTGAGCAGTGCTGGCTTGGGGGATGAGATGATGCAGCAAAATGAAGTCTTCCTTCTTCTTGTGTAGTTATTCTTGGGTTTTTTGTTCCACTGTGTTCCTAAAACCTCCTAACTAGACTCCAGAGCTCTTCCAGAGCTGTTTTTGTCCATGGATAACTGTCTAATTGTTGATCTTTGTGGAGGGGTAGGGAGGCTGGGGTGTCCTATGTTACCATTTTGGTCTCTCCTCTGCCTTCAAAAATATTTCCTTTCCACTTTTTTCTTTTTTTATTTAATCTTTTGTTTTTTTCAATTTCCGGAAAAAAAAATGTTCATTATAAAAAAAAATCAACTTAATTCAGAAAGAACACAGAGAACATTTCTTTTTGTGCATGTGTTTGCATGCTTCTAATTATAGTACACATATAATTTTTTTTTTAATTTTTTTTAAGCTTTTGTTTATTTGAGACAGAGAGCACAAGTGGGGAGGAGGATCAGAGGGAGAGGGAGAAGCAGATTCCCAACTGAGCAGGAAGCCCAATGTGGGGCTCGATCCCAGGACCCTGAGATTATGACCTGAGCCGAAGGCAGGCACTTAACCAACTAAGCCACCCAGGTGCCCTGTGGTATACATATAATTTTATATACTGCTTTTTTGTGCTTATTGAATCATAAACATTTTTTGCAGATTGCCACATGGTCTTTAAAACCAATATTTTAATGGCTGCATCATAGTCCGTTAAGTGAGTTTTCCATCATTAACTCATATGTTTGTCTTTTATATTGTTTCCAATGTTTTACTATTGTAATTACATTACAATGGTCAGCTTTAGGCATATTGTTCTTTCTCATAATTTTGGATTATATTTTTAAAATAAAGGATCGAGGGTAGAATTTATTGAGTTCAAGACTTTAAACGTATAATACTCACTTGCTTTCCAAAGAGTTGTATGAATGTATCAGTATTATTATAACAAGAAAGGCCTTTTATTTTAGGCAAAAATTCATTTCTCAGAGTCAGATCTTCTAGGTTCCATGGTTTATGAATACTAGATAAGATTAAAAACACAGAGGGGCGGCTGGGTGGCTCAGTCGTTAAGCGTCTGACTTCGGCTCAGGTCATGATCCCAGGGTCCTGGGATCGAGTCCCACATCGGGCTCCCCGCTCCTTGGGAGCCTGCTTCTCCCTCTGCTTCTCTCTCTCTCTCCTCTCTCTCCCTCTCTGTCTCTCCCTCTGTCTCTCATGAATAAATAAATAAAATCTTTAAAAAAAAATTAAAAACACAGAAAGAATTAAGTGAAAGATTGAGTATAGATAAGATAATATCTTAGTTTCTCATGAAAAGTGAGCTGGTAATTATATTGGGCATTCTGGAGCAGGGCTTTAAGTTTTAAGCTCAGACTGCTGCTTTTCTCCCTGTTCCTGACCAGGTGTTTTAGCTTAAAATATAAGAACTTTCTAATATAGGTAAGCATTTTGATACAAGGTTTGTGATGTTTTTAAGTGAAGGTTTAAGTTATGATGTTTTTGAAAGTTAGCTCTTTTACCTAATACATATTTATAAAATATTATTAATGAAACACTTCTTTTGTTCTTCAGAAAACAGCATTTCATAGAAGCCAGACGCTGGGCTACAGGAACGGCTATGCAGTTGTTCGACGTCCAACAGTTGGTATAGGCGGGGAGCGGCTCCAGGTCAACCAGCTGTCCCAGGCTGAGCTGGATGAGTTGGCCAACAAGGCACCAGTTTTAACTTATGGCCAACCGAAGCAGGCCCCACCTGCAGAATTTATTCCTGCACATGTGGCTTTTGACAAAAAGGTATCATCTGGGATTTCTGGGTACCCCTTGAATTCAGATTTCTGAGAGCCAACTGTTTGCAGAAAAGTCAACAGCAAACCACAGGTTTTCCAGAGGGCTCTGAGGAGAAAATTGTTCAAATGCCTCAACCTTTAGTCATAGACAGCTGAACTCAGGATTGAAAAAGGCTTTCTTTAGTCAGGAAGCTTATTACAGAAAATAATTCCCTGTACACTTCAGTGAAATGTTTTCCAAATACAGTTAAAGAAAAGTTGGATGAATTCTGAATTCTTGAGTTCACATTGCTCCATGTTTACCTGCTCTGTGCTGTCTACTTTTTGGAAGTCTTATCTGTACTGATGGCAAACCCTTAGTCTTTGTGAAATGCATCACGACAACTCCATCTTTTGTCAGTTTTAACCAGGCTGTCTTCGTAAGTTTTTATTTTTCAGGGAACGTTTCAGGTTTGGCATAATATAACCAAAGGATAGTCTAACATTTTCATTTCTGTCTCATTTACCCTTATGCTTTTGCAATGTGAGCTATTTTAGTTCCATCTGTTGACATTTCCATATCATCCTTGATTCTCCTTGTCAGTGGGCCTCCTCTTTAAGGTGAGGTAGTCCTAACTCTGGCCATGCAACAGAATCCCTAGTGGGACTTTTAAGAAACTGAGATGTCACCCTAACCCTCATCGATCTTAATTTCCAGATAATTTTTATGTATAACTGAGTCTGAGAACTACTGACCAGTTTTTACAAGTTAGCTTTCCTAATTTACTCCTAGCCTATTTTCCTTCTGTCTTTTTTTTTGGTCTTTCTTTTCATTTTATTCTTTTTGTTAAATGTCTATAGTGTTCATCTAGCTAGTCAACTTTAATTGAGTACCTATTTTTTTTTTTTAAGATTTTATTTATTTATTTGACAGAGAGAGACACAGTGAGAGAGGGAACACAAGCAGGGGGAGTGGGAGAGGGAGAAGCAGGCTTCCCACAGAGCAGGGAGCTTGATGCAGGGCTTGATCCCAGGACCCTGGGATCATGACCTGAGCCGAAGGCAGACGCTTAACGACTGAGCCACCCAGGTGCCCCTAATTGAGTACCTTTTGAAACTAGAGGCTGAAAAATAGAAACCTGGTGGTGGAATTATGCCATTTACATTCATTAATCACTTAGTTTAAAAATTTTTTTAAATGTCTCGGCCATAATCCATACCATCCTCCTGTCCCCATCTCAGTGAACTCATCCAATAGGAACATGTTCATATATGCATTCAGAAGCTGAACCTAAACAGTATCAGTTACATGGTTGGGTATTTCTCTACTTTTTCTTGTTTCTTTGTGAGTCTACAGATAGTTTCAGCCCCAGCTGTGCCCCTAACCCTGAGTTTGGCCTCAGGCAAGTCACTCTACCACCCTGAGTCTCCATTTGTAAAATGAGGGAGGTTCAATTAGCTGATTATTTCTGGCTCTCACATTTGTGTATTTATATATCTGTGGCTCATATTACAGACCATTTCATGCATGAATTAGTGATCATGCCCCCACTTATAGTGATCATGTCTCCATTTCAGTTCTTTGTAGTGGATCTACAGTGTTACTTGAAAACGATCTTTTGTCTTTTGTTTTTACTGTATTATCTTTCTCCTTTAAACATTCTATTCCATTCATGTATTTCATCTTTTTATTAAGAGTTTTAAGGTTTTATTCCATTATATGCTTATTTCACATAAGCAATTGTCTGATCTCTTTGGTTTTTAATCTTGTTTTTCCACAGTAGACACTACACCTTTTTAGCAACAGCACTCATGTATAAAATGCATCTTCCCATTCATCAAGCCATATCTGTGTCTTCACTAAACGGTCTTCTTGGTTTGTTCCTCTAGTTCCAGTGGAGGTTTAGGTTCACACTCTTGTCTACCTATAACACCATTCTAGTATTTTCTCTTCATGGGAGGAAATATTAAAAATAAAGACAGGATAAAAGAAAGTTTTAAAATTAATCCCAAAGCTTGTCAACACAAGCTTTTAATATTTTTAAATGTGCAAGAGAACGTGCCATTTTGGATTCCCACTGATACTCCCCAGAGGACCTAGGGTTTGCTCCATCTATCATGTATGTTTCTGAGTACAGTGAGGGTGTGTTTACATGCCACTGATTCTGTGCTGGATTGATGATTTGAGTCTCATTCATATGAATTCTCTAAGGATGAATATGTCATTAATATGCATTTACAGGGGACTTTCCTTCTAAAGAAATGGACTTGAGGCTTCGTTTTCATTTTGAAACCAAAGGTTATAGTCTTGCCCAAATTTTTGACTCTTTGCAGAAATTCTAAGAGAGATTTTTGACACAGAAGTGAAGCTAGTACGGTTAAGGTCTTTAAGCCATCTCATCAAGAACCACATTACTAAGTAGTCTATGTGTAGTTTGAGTATCTAGAGCAAAGATCAGCAAACGTTTTCTGTAAAGGGCCAAATAGTAAATATTTGGGTCTTTGCAGGTGTCTTAGTCTACTTGAGCTGCCATCACAAGATACCATATACTGGTGCCTTACATAATAGAAATTAATTTTCTCACTGTTCTGGAGGCTGGAAGTCTAAGATCAAGGGTCCTGCTGATTCAGTTTCTTGTGAGGACTCTCTTCCTGGCTTTAGATAGCTGCCTTTTTGCTATGTCCTCACGTGGCCTTTCCTCAGGGTAGGTTTGCTGAGAGAGAGGTCTTCCTCTCCTTACAAAGTCACTAATTGATTTGGATCAGGGCCCCACTGTTGGGACCTCACTTAAGCTTAATTACTTCCTAAAGACTCTGTCTCCAAATACAGTCATATTAAGGGTTAGGGCTTTTACATACGAATTTTTTGGGGGGGGCGAAGACAAAATTCAGTCCATAGTAGCAGCCCACGTGGTCTCTATCACAGCTACTCAATCCTGCCCTTGTAATTGGAAAGCAGCCATTGACAAATACCTGCTAATTATTTACATAATTATTTGTGGATACTGAAATTTGCATTTTATATCATTTCCATGTGTTGTGAGATTTTATCCTTTTTATTTTTTTAACCATTTAAATATGTAAATAAAACATTCTTAGCTTGGAGGTGATACAAAATCAGCTGGCAGGGATAGATGGGTCCCATGGACCGTAGTTTAGCAGCCTTTGATTTAGAAAATAGGAGTGATGAGTATTTAGTTCTCCCCGAGTGGCTCTCTTTAGAGGAGGGTACTGGATGTTTTTTGGATGAGAGACTAATACAATACCATTTCTCTCTGCCTTGTGTGTTATAGGTGCTGAAATTTGATGCCTATTTCCAAGAAGATGTTCCTATGTCAACTGAGGAACATTATCGGATTCGTCAAGTGAACATTTACTACTACCTGGAAGATGACAGCATGTCTATCGTGGAGCCTGTTGTGGAAAACTCTGGGATCCTTCAAGGCAAGTTAATCAAACGCCAGCGGCTAACCAAGAATGACCAGGGAGACCATTACCACTGGAAAGACCTAAATCGAGGAATAAACATTACAATTTATGGCAAAACTTTCCGCATTGTTGACTGCGACCGATTCACGCAGGTATAGTATATATTTCTGGAAATTGTGGTGTCTGAGGCATCATTCTAATTTATGGAAGGATGCATTTCATTTATAAGGGCAAGAGGAGGGGCGTCTAGGTGGCTCAGTCAGTTAAGCATCTGCCTTCGGCTCGGGTCACGATCTTGGGGTCCTGGGATCCAGCCCCGCGTGGGACTCCCTGCTTGGCGAGGAGTCTGCTTGTCCCTCTCCTTCTGCCTCTCCCCCCACCCCCGCTTGTGCTCTCTCCCTCTCAAATAAATAAATAAAATCTTTAAAAAGAAAAATATAAGGGTAAGAGGAGGACACTGGTACTCTGTCCTGAATGGATTATTATGTAGGTTGATTAGGTGTTTGTGTGTGTGTTGATAAGTGTCAACACTGTGTGGTGATGTCACTTTTTTCACAATGATATGGATACATATCCATTCAAATAAAATTAAACTTGCATCATAGCTGAATCATTTGATAAGGAACCAGTTCCCATGCCGGTTCAAGTGGTAGCACCCTTGATGGGATAGAAATATGAAAGAGGCATTGGACGATTTATCTGAAGTTTGAGTTACAAAAGTAATATTACCTTTATTAGCAGATATGAGCCTCACATTTTTTGTGCAGTTCATATTTTTCCTGTAAATCATACTTGCTATATTCTGGAGAAACTGGCTATCTAAAGAATTCCTGAAATAAAGACAATTTATTGTCAGGAGAATGCTTGTTTATATCGAGAAGAATCCTCCATTCCCTCTATTTCATAAGTATGGATTTTTGACAACTTTTCTTAAAGTTATGTGTACGTACATAGACACAGAGTCCTTTCTTGAGCACAAAATGTAGGTATTAGGAAGTCAGTTCTAAATTTCTCTTAGTTTAAAAAATTTCTAGAAGCGAAGATACAGTTTCTGAATTCTTTTGTGCCTTTAATCCTATGTTACCAAATGCCACATGTGATTGATCTTTACCACGCACTGTGTTCCTGTGAATCCACTCATTTCTGTTTTGCATTTAGTAATTTATTTAGCAAATACTTACTAAGTGCCTGCTCTGTGCCAAGCCTGGTGGTTCTAGGTGCCACATATATAGACTTGTCCTTATAAAGGCTATTACATTGGGCACCTGGGTGGCTCAGTTGGTTAAGCGACTGTCTTCGGCTCAGGTCATGATCCTGGAGTCCTGGGATCGAGTCCTGCATCGGGCTCCCTGCTCAGCGGGGAGTCCGCTTCTCCCTCTGATCCTGCCCCCTCTCGTTCTCTCTCTCTCTCATTCTCTCTCTCTCAAATAAATAAATAAAATCTTAAAAAAAAATAAAAAAATAAAGGCTATTACATTCTGGCTGGAGGAGGCAAAAATAAGCACACAAGTATATAACCTGTCAGATGCTGCTTAGAGCTGCGGAAGGGACTACAGCTGAGGAAAAGGGAGGGGAGGGTGAGGAGGGTGTATAGAGGCTGGCCAAGGGAGGCCTCACCCTGAACAGAGACCCCAAGGAAGTGAAGGAAGGAGCCCTGGCATCCGTGCCATCCCAAAGCAACAGCGAAAAACAGTGCAGAAGGTAGAGGTGCTAGACCATCTTTGGGAAAACAGGTTTTGATCTCTCATTGTTTAGGTTTTCGAGGTCCTTTTTATCATAGGCAGTTTCAGAACTGTACCTATAATGAGAAATTATAAAATGTTATGTAAATTTCAGGTATTGTGGCTATTTTTACAGTTGTCTCTTTATGAACAATCTGAATATCAGCAGTTCATTCCTGAGCGGTGAGTCAACTCTCATAAAGAGAGACGCTTAAACGACTGAGCCACCCAGGGGCCCCAACTCTCATTGTTGACGGTAGTTCTGTTCTAGGAAGTCACCACAAGCCCTTAATTAGCAACTATGGATCCATTGCTCCTGGGAGAAATACGAGGTTAGGTTTCTATAAGCTTGTTTTATGTGTGTTTCTGTTTAAAGTTGCCATGTTGAAAATACTTTGTTGATTCATGAACATCGAACTTATGGCCAGCAGCACTGGAGCTCATGCCTGAAGGAAGCGTATCTCACACATGTACTTTCTCCTGAAGGCACTTCACAGCCATATGTGTGTGTGTGTGTGTGTGTGTGAGATAAAAAGTACGTAACATAAACGTGACCACCTTAACCACTTTTCTTCGATGTGCAGTTTAGTGACACTAAGTGCTTATCCCAGCCTCCTTGCACTTAGAACATGCGACAGCACTTTAGCACTAAGGTTGGGGGCCATTTTAAATAGCAAAAGCAACAAAAGCACAAAAGTGTGAAAAAGCGGCACTAAACAGACATCTAAATGGACACTTTTTCAGTATGGAAGCTGAAATAAGAAGGCAGAATGCCATCTCATTTGACCTCAGCTAGGAATGTACCTTATCAGACAACTCAAAATTTTTACCACTCTGTGTGTGTCTGCAAAGGACCACAGAAGCACCATGACTATTGATTTGGAGGTTACTAATAAAATTTTGCAAGTAGGCAAAAGTGCAAATATAGGATCAACTCTATTTTGATGACTGCTAATGACTAGAGTTGCATATTTTAGGTACCGATGACTAGATTAAATTATGTTTTCAGTAGTCGATCTGTTAGAAGTTGGCTCCTGTAACAGTTTAAAATTTATACACATCTTATCTAATTTGATGGTTTTCATTAGGGCTGGACCTATGAGTGGATAAAGAAGATAGTTGTCTTTATGGTGTGGGCTTGAACAAGGAACCACCTCTAATCAAATATATCACCACCACCACCCCTTCTGAGCCCCTCCTCACTGCTCCAAATAAACGTTGGTCCTAGAGACAGAATTAACACAGTAAAAAAAATTAACTCCAGAAATCAGAGATCTAGAATTTATTATCTTCATTAGAGTATGACCGGTAGTATAGCGGGTGTGAATCCTGCTCTGCATATGCAAGTGTGCAGGAAATATTGTTTTGTGTTTTAAAAATAACTTAAAACCTACTTGAACCCACATCCAACTGGGCTGCTATTTCTATTCACCCTCAGCTTTGCCAAAAATTCCAGGCCCTCAGAACAACAAGGCATACCCAGGCCTAATGGGGTCATACAGGCAGGGTCCATAGGCTGTCAGTGCCCAAGGGCACCTCCTGGATGCTTTGGTGCGAGGTCAGATACTGAGACCCCGAGTGCCTGTGACCGATGTGCCTGACTGGGCTACACGTGTGCTTCGAGCATCCCTAAGAGCACATGTGGAGTCTTGCTCTTCTGAGACCCATCAACTTGTGTCTATTTTCCAGCCTGGGAGAATTTCCCCCTTTTTCTCTCCTTGCCTTCAAAGACATTTCCTTCTCTCCCCTCTTTCTGGGATACTTTAGAATAATCTCTTCAAAGAGTTTAGGCTTTTTCTAAGAGACAGGAAGAATAGTCAAACTTCAGGAAGCTTCTGCATTCCTGCCAAAATCCCTAAGGTAAGGTTAACAAAGGGCCTGGTTATCTGTTGAAAGCAACAGAAAGGAGTAAAACCCCCATTAAATACCTCAATCAATAATCCTGCTACACTAATATATCATCTCAAGGGAGAGGAGAATATTGTTAGTCATTATCTCCAGCTCAGTACTTTTAATAGACATTGAGATCCCAGTATTTTAATATTGAAAGATACTGGAGACTGCTTAGTGAAACTTTAAGTGTTAAGATTACAAGCTAGTTAGCAGCAGACCTAATATTAGAACCCAAATATTTTGGCTCTGAGTCCTGCATATTTTCTATTGAATTGTCCAAAAGCAAATCACACAATTCCCAAAAGAAACCCAGATTTCAGATTAATTTCTAGTTCTAGAATGTAAACAGATCCCATGACATTGTTCTTTTCTGATTACTAAAAAAAAAAATACAGCTTATTGTGGTGCTTTTATGAAGAAGAAATGCCAAGTTGTATTAAAAAATGTAGTTACTGAAAATGTTGTATTTACTTATAATTAGCAAATTAAACAAGATCATATCAAGTTCAGATGCTTTCCTTAACTTTATCTGGTGAGATTTGAGTACTTGGTTTGTCTCTCCTATTTTGCTAAAATATCTTCTGGTCTAAACCAGTGATTCTTTTCCTTTTTGGAGTGGGGTGGAGATGGGGACTTAATCAGATGCTTGTTTTTGGTGAGTTGAAAGTTGGGAATTTGATTTCAGCTTAACTTTGCCATTGTGTAGCTTGCCCCCATCCCTGATATGAATTACATATTGTTTGAAACTGTGGTTGGGTTTCAGATGTGTGTATGTAAGCAATGCTAAAACTTACTCTGTTCTTGGGCACCTAACTAAATTTCATTGATCTAAATTCATATATGGAGGGCGCCTGGGTGGCTCAGTTGGTTCAGCAACTGCCTTCAGCTCAGGTCATGATCCCGGAGTCCCGGGATCGAGTCCCGCATCGGGCTCCCTGCTCAGCAGGGAGTCTGCTTCTCCCTCTGACCCTCCCCCCTCTCATGCTCTCTCTCTCTCTCATTCTCTCTCTCAAATAAATAAATAAATAAATAAAATCTTTTAAATTCATATATGGAGCCAGTTACCTTACTATCATGTCTTCCAGTTAGCTCAGCATATTGCCTAGCAAGTTTATAATATAGAATACTTACGGTAATTATCAGTTGTTACCTGCATTATAGCATTGGGTCAATTGGAGGCTTAATGCTGCTAAGATGTGCTACAAACTGCAAGCTAACGATTAATTTGGACATTGGCATAGATATTATTATTAAACTTATCTTTACACCATCAGCTAATACTCCTGGAAGCTTCAAGAAAGCTGATCATTACTTTTGCATGATTTAGGTATTTTTGGAAAGTCAGGGAATTGAATTAAATCCACCAGAGAAGATGGCTCTTGATCCTTACACTGAACTCCGGAAACAGCCTCTTCGTAAGTATGTCACCCCATCGGACTTTGACCAACTGAAGCAGTTTCTCACCTTTGACAAACAAGTAAGTGACGTAAGCACCTCAGTGGATTTGCTCATCTCCACATGTGGTGCATGTTTATTAGCAAGCTGTTCTGGGAGATGTGTGTTTTAAAACATTACATCTGTAATTTAGCCATTTGGAGACAGTGCGATTTTTCTGGTTTCATCTAGAGTTAGAGGTACAGGAATGCCCAAGTTTTGTATTAAGAGACCCAGAGGAGGCTGTGGAGTTAAGTCTTAGGAGTTCCACCAAACTTTTCAATCTTAAAGCAATTCCTAAGCTATGTCTGCTTCCCACTTTACGTTTCCAACTAACTACTTCTTTTCCCAAATAGGAGTTCATTTCATAGCCTTCTTTGGGAAACCCTAAGTGATTTATTGGGAAATTTCGAAGCTATTGCATATAGGTAGTTTTCTAATGTTAAAGTAGTAATTTCACAGAAATCCCATCACAGATGCTTCCTTGTTATATTTTATATGAATTTTGAGTATAGAATATTCTAGGTATTTTCCAGCTCTGTTCCAACTGTCCTATCCTACCCACTGTGAGTTGGTGTGTGGGAGGAGATTTGGTCTTCTCCTTTCTGTACAAAAGAAGATGGGGAGATCATCCTCAGTGCTTCTTTGCTGCTGGTGTTCTCTCAGAAATGTAATTCCTTTTAGTTCAGAAAAATTTGCCTAGCACTAGTATTGCCTTTTAAGGACATTCTTTATATCAATCATATATCTGTTATTCTTTTGTCTTTAAAGATTGTGTTGTTGATACTGTTACTAGAAGAGGTATGTTGATGGATAAAAAAAGACTGATTAATAAATGAAAATTCTTTCCATACCAATTACATATAAGCAGTACCTATATGTACATATACCTTTCTTAATACATATGAGCCCCTGTATAAAACACAATGCTCTTTTTTCTTTCTTTTTTTTTTGTTTATTGAGGTATAATTGACGTATTATATTAACTTCAGGTGTACAACATAGTGATTCAACAATTGAATACATTGCAAAATTGTCACCACAATAAGTCTAGTTACCATCTGTCATATTACAAAGTTAATATAATATTATTGACTATATTCCCTATGCTATACATTACGTTCCCATGACTTATTTATTTTATAACTGGAAGTTTGTACTTCTTGATCCCCTTCACCTATTTCATCTATTCCCCCACCACCTGCACCCCAAGCTCCCTACCCTCTGGCAACCACCAATCTGTTCTCCATGTCTATGAGCTGGGTTTGGTTTTGTTTGTTTTGTTTTTTAGATTCCACATATAAGTGACATTATGCAATATTTGTCTTTCTCTGTCTGATTTGTTTCACTTAGCATAATACCTTCAAAGTCCATCCATGTTGTTGCAAAGGGCAAGATTTCTCTTTTATATGGCTGAGTAATATTCCACTGTATATATAAACTACATCTTCTTTCTCCATTCATCCATTGGTGGACAGGTTATTTTCAAATCTTGACTATTGTAAATAATGCTACAAGGAACATGGGGTTGCTTATATCTTTTTGAATTAGTGTTTCGTTTTCTTTGGAGGCTACCCCGTAGTGGAATTGCTGGATCATATGGTATTTCTATTTTTAATTTTCTGAGGCACCTCATACTGTTTTCCATAGTGATTGCACCAATTTACATTCCCACCAGCAGTGTACGAGGGTTCCTTTTTCTCCAACCAACACTTATTTCTTGTCTTTTTGATGATAGCTATTCTGACAAGTGTAAGGTGATATCTCATTGGTGTTTTGGTTTGCATTTCTCTGATGATTGATGATGTTGAGCATCTTTTCATGTACCTGTTGGCCATTTGTATGTCTTCTTTGGAAAAATATCTATTCAGATCCTCTGCCAACTTTTTTTTAATCAGAATTTGTGGTGTTTTGTTATTGAGTTGTAGGAGTTCTTTATATATTTTAGATGTTAATTCCTTCCTTATCAGATATGATTTGCAAATATCTTCTCCCCTTCAGTAGGCTGCCTTTTCATGTTGTTGATAGTTTTCTTCATTGTATAGAAGCTTTTTAGTTTGATGTAGTCTCATTTGTTTATTTTTGCTTTTGTTTCCCTTGCCTTTGGAGTCACATCCAAAGAAACATGGCTCAGATCAATGTCAACAAGCTTACTGCCTATGTTTCTCCTAGAAGTTTTATGTTTCAGGTCTTTAATCTATTTGGAGTTTATTTTTGTGTATGGTGTGAGAAAGTGGTCTAGTTTCATTCTTTTGCATGTAGCTGTCCACAGTTTTCCCAGCACCGTTTATTGAGGAGACTCTTTCCCCATTGTATATTCTTGCCTCATTTTTCGTAAATTAATTGACCATAGAAGTGTGAGTTTGTTTCTGGGCTCTCATTTCTGTTCTGTTGGTCTGTGTGTCTATCTTTATGCCAGTACCATACTGTTTTGATTACTATAGTGTTGTAGTGTAGTTTGAAATCAGGGAGCATGGTACCTCTGCCTTTGTTCTTTCTCAAGAGTTTCTTGGCTATTCAGGGTCTTTTGTGGTTCCATACAAATTTTAGAATTATTTGTTCTAGTTCTGTGAAAAATGCCATTGGAATTTTGATAGGGATTGCATTAAATCTGTAGATTGCTTTGGGTAGCATGGACATTTTAACAATATTAATTCTTTTACTGTGAGCACAAAATATCTCTCCACTTATCTGTGTCTTCTTCAATTTCTCTCATCAGTTCCTTATAGTTTCCATTGCTCTTTTAATTCGGCTTCTCTTTCACTGACTAATATTTTGGATCAAAGTGAATTCTGCTTTCTCAGTACAAACTTACAAGCCTGTTATTTAATATTTTACAGCTGTTGACATCTGGCATATAATTTTTGTATGTTTTTGTATCTTTGGTGAATTTTTTTTTTACCGTCTGTGATTACTTCATAGTCTTTGTAGCTAATCTTTCCATCATTGTCTGATATATGAATGCCAAAGTAGTTAAGTTAATCTCTCCACTTGTAGAATTCTTAAGTCACTACTTTGGATTCCTCAAAGGTTCTTCGATTCTATGCAATCTGGGATGATACAGACAGCATGTTTGGTGAATGTCGGACCTACATCATTCATTACTATCTTATGGATGATACAGTGGAAATTCGAGAAGTCCATGAGCGGAACAATGGGCGAGATCCTTTCCCACTCCTGATGAACCGCCAGCGCATGCCAAAGGTTTTGGTGGAGAATGCAAGTATGTTTGATTCAGTTTATCCTCCGTAATTGGGACATCTTTTGGATCTCGAAGGAGTGACTTAATCAGTATGGTCATTCCCTTTACACTTGGGAGGCTCTTGCTGTGTTGTAGGTACTCAAAAAATAGCTTTCCTGTAACTCCCCTCATTGCTTGCCCCACAGTCCAGGCTTGCCTCCAAAATGGTCTGGTGGAGATCACTGATACCCAAATCAAGGAAACAACCAAAACAGCAGTGGGAGATTCATTTAAAGTGGAGAAGAGCAAGGCTTCTGAAGTAAAGCAATTTAATATCAGATTTTTAATGCAGTTTTAGAACAAGCTTGTTTTCATATAGCTTACCATTTCCTTATGTTCTTTCCTGACTTTGCCCCTCACCTCAATACTTCCTAAACAGGAAGTTTGTATGTAGGATAACTTAAGATTGGAAAAGGCATGTCTGTGACTCAGAGGTGGGGCCCCATTGTGTCAGCCCCCGCTCTCTTTGCTGTGTAAAATAACCTAGTGACTGGAGAGGGAGAATGCAACAAAGTGCAGCTGACACCCGCTGCCCATCAGTCTTTCTCTGGAATAAGGACACTTACTTTGGTTATTGACTTAGTGGTTTAAGAATTTTCTCTTGCAAAAATGTCATCTTTTGGTCACATGTGATGACATCTCTCATGCTTGGACGGCTGACAGAACTCTGTAAATACTTTTGTTGGTTTTCTTTATACTCTATTTTTTTGGAACTAGGAGATAAGAAATTTCAGGTATTGAGCAAGAGGTTTGTCGTAGAGGTTATAAACAAGTTGAGGTTAGAGGTTATATACAAATTGGCAGTCTGAAGGCTAAAGGCAATCTACCTACATGTATTGATTTGCCTATATAGTATTTTTTTTTTTAAGCAGTGTTACTTGGGGGCAAGGAGGTGGAGACTTCCATCACTGGGATAGTAGATAAACAAAATGTGGTGAAGGTGTATCTTAATAAATAGTAGTAATTACAAGCAATGACTAAATGTAAAGAAAGCAAATGGATGCACTTAAAAGCGAAGTGCTGTGTAGAAGAAAGAAAAGAGATGTACAATGCAATAATACTTATGTAAAGTGAAGTCCAAACAAAACGATATGCATAGTACACACATAAAAAGCTGCACGTTAGAACGGTTGCATGTAAAGTAGAGGAGAATGAGATTGGGGAAATAGTCCTCATTTTAAAACTAAAAGAATTAGTGGTAAAAATCTCTCTTAGAGAAATGAAAATAATTGCTAATATAGCTCACATTCTCAGATAGCAGCAACTGGATTTGAGCCCTAGTTCAACCTAGTCCAGTTGCTGTTGACCATATTCTTATACTTGCCCTCCTGTAGAACCCTCTTAGGTTCTAGGACACTGAGACTAATGTACTAATTTAGGCCTTCCAGAATGCTTACATGAGCCTGAAATTCCTGCCATCTAGAGCTAACAAATGTTAGATTTACGTTAGATTAAGAGAAAGAATGGGAATTTATTCAGGCATGAAAAAAGTATCACTGAAACTGAACCCCTTGAAATCTCGAGTTCTCTGTGTTTGTCTCTGCTGTATCAACATGGCCTATGTTTAAAATTTTGAATATGTGATCATCCTCTTTTATAACTTCCCCAGTTTTTTTTAAGTAATCTCTACAACCAACATGGGGCTCGAACTCACAACCCAAAGATCAAGAGTCACACACTCTCCCAACCGAGCCAGCCAGGCGCCTCTATAACTTCTCAAATTTTAACCAAAATTTTCATCAAAGTTATGTGGAGAGGCAGCCTGGTGACATATGTAGGGTCCTTTTAAGAGATAGGAAACATATCTTTTTGTGAAAGTTAGTCATGCAGTAGCAGGACAGAAAAGGCTAAGCTTCCATCAGCTGAATAATTCCTTTAACTAGAACTGTGATGTTGAAGAAGTAGCATCTAATTGACTCTCAAAGTCATTTATCCAGTGGATGATTTCAATTACATTCAATTAAACAAGAGTTAAATATCTGCTAAGGGAACTAGTTCATGTCGTAAGTACTGTGGAGGATAAAATGAAGGCATAACTTCCAGACCTAGAATCTCTGTCCTTCAATCACTTCTAGTGACTGTGGAGACAAGTCATATAAATACACAAAGCTGTTTAACAATAACACAAGTGTACCAGATCATCTGATTATGTAATTAGTTATGTCATGTAGACAGAGCTCAGAAGAAGAGATGTGACCTAGAAAGACTAAGGAAGGCTTTGCGGGAGACCTGAGGTTGGACCCAGATTTAGAGTGGCAGAGAACAAAGGGAAGGTGCATGTTAGAGAAGAACAAGAGCAAGTGTTGGGCATTAGGAACAAGTATGTTATGTTTGGGGGCATCCAAGAGACAGTGGCTAGGCAGAGTTTGTGTTGGACAGTAATAGGCAGTTACGGGAGTATCTTTCAGAAGTTCTCTTTGCCAGGGCCTTCATTTAAGTAGTTAAGATGAATAAAAATTGTATTTTTATAATTCTTGAAGTTTCAGGAATTATAAAAGTTCTTTCTTTGTTGAACGTAATTGCAGTTTACCACTATGTGGTAAGTAATGTCAAAAGAAGGTCACCAGAAGCTTTCTACTCAGCTGTTGAACCTAAGGTTCTAGGTTCTTAAAGTCTGTTAACTATCCTTTAGACTGGCTTTCATCCTTTGACCTTGCCTTTCCCTTGGTAAATACAAATGTTAAACAACATCAAAATTGTACACTCTAAATATGTACAACTTATTGTAGTCGATTATACCTCAGTAACATTGTAAAAATATAAATCCATACTTAGATATGTTATAGTCAAACTTAAGAACACCAAATTCAAAAAGATCATAAAAGCAGCCCGAAGAACAAGGTTATCCATACAGAATGGCAGCTACAATGACAACCAACCTCTCAAGAGCAACACTAGTTACCAGAAGACAGTGTACTAAAATCTTCAAAGTGCTGAGAAGGAAACAGAATTTAATACCTAGAGAAACTGTCTTTCAAGAAGAAAGTGAGGGCGCCTGGGTGGCTCAGTCGGTTAAGCGACTGCCTTCGGCTCAGGTCATGATCCTGGAGTCCCGGGATCGAGTCCCACATCGGGCTCCCCGCTCAGCGGGGAGTCTGCTTCTCCCTCTGACCCTCTTCCTTCTCATGCTCTCTGTCTCTCATTCTCTCTCTCTCAAATAAATAAATAAAATCTTTAAAAAAAAAAAAAGAAGAAAGTGAAATACCTTTCTAGGCAAACAAAACAGATTTTACTAACAAAAGACCCTACTAGGAAAATTCTAGAGTGTACTTTTAGTAGAAAGAAAATTATTCCAGAAGTTAGGTCTGGGATATAAGAAGCAATTTTAAAAAAAGAAGAAGAAAATGGCAGAGTGTGGGTATATCTAAATAAACATTGACTATACAAACTAAAAAAACAATGTTGAATTTGTGGGAGTTAAAAAATATCAAGGTAGAATTGAAATATATTACAACAAAGACTTAGGAGAAGTGATAGGATTAAAAAACAATAAACTTTGAAAAATATTTTAAGAACATACTTAAGATACAGAGACATAAAAAGGTCTTGATTGTAGCAAAAGAAACTGATAAGCCTATATTACTAAAATACCAATAGACATTAAGGCAGAAAGCATTGCTAGAGATAAAGAAGATCATACATATTGCAAGAATTGTATTTACCAGGAAAATGTACTAATTCTAAACTTGAATGCAGTTAGTAACATGGCTTCAAAACATGAAAGGCAAAAATTTGTAGCATTATTAGGCAAAGAGAATGGACAAATTCATCAAAATAGTGGGAGTCATTAAAACATTTCTTCTTATAATTGTTAGATAAAAAAGATAAGTCAATAACCACATATATATATATGATTTAAATAATAGAATTGTCAGTGTTGATATAATAAATATGTATATGCATCAACACCTGGAGAATTCCCATTTCTTCAAGTACAAATGGAACACTTATAAAAACTGGTCAGTCTTAACAAATTTTTAAAATCTGGGCATCTAATACAATATTTTTTTTTTTTAAAGATTTTATTTATTTAATTGACAGAGAGAGAGACAGAGAGAGAGGGAACACAAGCAGAGGGAGTGGGAGAGGGAGAAGCAAGCTTCCCGCCGAGCAGGAAGCCCGATGTGGGGCTCGATCCCAGGACCCTGGGATCATGACCTGAGCCAAAGGCAGTCGCTTAACCAACTGAGCCACCCAGGCGCCCCTTATACAATATTTTCTAATTTTAACACAAGTTAGATTTCAATTTCAGAACTACTAAAAAACTCATGTATTTGGAAATTAATTTCAGTTAGATGAAAAGAGCAAATTTTAGTTGAAATTAAATTTTTATTCCAGTATAGTTAACATACAAGTGTTATGTTAGTTTCAGGTGTACAATATAGTGATTCAACACTTCCATGTATTACTCAGTGCTCATCAAGATACGTGGACTTTTAATCCCCTTCAACTATTTCACCCATCCCTCTACCGACTTCCCTTCTGGTAACCATCCATTTGTTCTCTGTAGTTAAGAGTCAGTTTTTTGGTTTGTCTCTTGTGTGTGTGTGTGAAATGAGCAAAGTTTTAGAAAAATTTAATAACTTGTCCAAGAGGAAATAGAGACCAAATGTCTTTAACCATTAAGGAAATAGAATCACTTAAAAAATTCTCCACAAAGAAAACACCAGATCTAGATAATTTTTCAGTTTTGCCAAATAAAGAACAGCTAATTCTAAGCCTAATACAGATTCATAGAAAAGAACTAATTCATTCATTAAGAAAAGACCAATAAGGGCGCCTGGGTGGCTCAGTTGGTTAAGCGACTGCCTTCAGCTCAGGTCATGATCCTGGAGTCCCGGGATCGAGTCCCACATCGGGCTCCCTGCTCGACAGGGAGTCTGCTTCTCCCTCTGACCCTCCCCCCTCTCATGTGCTCTCTCTCTCTCATTCTTTCTCTCAAATAAATAAAAAAAAACTCTTTAAAAAAAAAAAAGAAAAAAGAAAAGACCAATAAAACCAAAGACACCATGAGTAAGACTACAGTCATATATGTAAAAAACTTAAATAAAATATCAGTAAATGAAATCCAGCTATATATGAAAAAGATAATTGTTAAGCAAAAAAGGTGAATGGTTGTATAGTGTGTGTGCACACGTGTGTGCACATGTACACACATACATGCCCCAGGTCTCCTGGAACATTGTTGACTGTGCCCCCCAGTGGTCATCATTTCCTGGGGTAACTCAAAGGGGTCTAGTAGGGTTAGGCACTAGGCAATGGGAGAAGGAACCCTTGGTCTGTAGGGCTTTTAAGATGCATGATTGGGAAAATCATGATCTTTTGTCATGATGAAGGGCTGGCGCTCAAGCCTTTCTGCCTGATGTAACAAAACCTTAGCCTTCTTCCCTGTTTTTTCATCTTAGTAGTTATCAGTTGGGAGAATAGTGGCCTCTCAAGCACCCTGTGATCAGAGTTCTAGGGTCAAGCTTTGTGGTTACAGCTATACAGTGTGGCACTTTACCAGAATTGACTATCTTACGGTTTCCATGGTGGCCATGCTGCAGGGAATCAGTCTTAAATAAGTCAATCCTTAGTTCTCATAAAACAATGTGATAGAATTGGATTTATTCCTCCCAAAATGCAAGGTTGATTCTACATTTGAAAATCTGTTGAGGGCGCCTGGGTGGCTCAGTTGGTTAAGCAACTGCCTTCGGCTCAGGTCATGATCCTGGAGTCCCAGGATCGAGTCCCGCATCGGGCTTCCTGCTCAGCGGGGAGTCTGCTTCTCCCTCTGACCCTCTTCCCGCTCGTGCTTTCTATCTCTCATTCTCTCTCTGAAATAAATAAAATCTTTAAAAAAAAAAAAAAAAAATCTGTTGAGTGCCCAGATAAACAGATTAGTATGATCATCTCACTGACCCTGCCTCCCGCCAGAGGACTAGGTCAGACTGTCCTTCTAGCAGTGATCACAATTGAAATGAAACTATTATTTGTGTAATTGTTTAGTATCCGTTGTCCCAAACAGACTGTTTTCTCCATCAAGGCAGAGATCTCACCTACACTATTAATTGTTATAATCTCGGTATTTAGCAATGAACCTGGTAGATGATATATGTGGTCATTGATAATATGTTGTGTGAATGAATAAATGGGTCAAAGTTTGAACTGAATGACTTAGATCCCTCCGTTGATCTTGTATTCTATGGAAGGACATTTATTCTTTCCTCCTGTAATGATTTCCCCTAAGCATGAGTTCTGCTAAGGTTAGTGACCTGTACTGATAGTTCAAGCTGAATAAGGGAGAGAGACTTCACAAAAACTATCTGGGATATTATTTCTGTGTCCGGTCAACAGGTGGAAATACACAACGCTTATTTTCTGCTGGAGAGTAGAGGAGACCCCTGACCAGAGCTAGAGACCATTCTCAAGAGTGCCCAGCTGCTGCGTGTCAGTCTTTCTTCCCATCCTTATTCCTTTTCTTTCTTCTCTCCCTGTTATCTTCTGTCAGAGAACTTCCCTCAGTGTGTGCTGGAGATCTCTGATCAAGAGGTGTTGGAATGGTATACTGCCAAAGACTTCATTGTGGGGAAACCACTCACTATCCTCGGGAGAACCTTCTTCATCTATGATTGCGATCCTTTCACTCGACAGTATTACAAAGAAAAGTTTGGAATCTCTGATTTACCACGTATTGATGTGAGCAAGAAGGAGCCACCTCCTGTGAAACCGGTAATGGAACACTAGTTCCGAGTGTAGTGCGAGAATTAATCTTTTGATATAGAGGTTTAAGAAAAAGAAAAAACAGAGTCATGTGAATACCCAATAAAAAATGGACAAAGCATATGATACAGAGCACTTCACAAAAGAAGAAATACAAATGGCTAATGAACATATGAAAAGACCCTCCTCCATGCTCAGTGCAGAGTTTTGCTTCAGATTCTCTGTCCTTCCCCCTCTCCTTCTGCCCCTCTCCCTCTCCTGCCCCTCCCGCTCATGCTCGCTCTCTCTCAGTCTCTCTCTAAAAAATAAATAAATAAATCCTTAAAAAAAAAAAACTTAACTGATGAAGAAAATAGAAATGAAAATAATGAGGTTTTGGATCTATTTGATTTAAAAAGACACAATATCCAGTGTTTGCCCTGATCTGAAGAAGTGGACATTTTTTCTTTTTCTTTTCTTTTCTTTTTTTTTTTTTTTCAAATTTTTAAAGTAATCCCTACACCCACTATCAGGCTCAAACCCACAACCCTGAGACCAAGAGCCCCATGCCCTACTGACTATGCCAGCCAGATACCCCGAAATGGTCATTTTCATATACTGTTAACAGGAGAGCCAAGAGGAAAAACCTTTTTGAATTTTTTTTTAAGATTTTATTTATTTATTTGAGAGAGGGAATGAGATAGAGAGAGCATGAGAGGGGGGAGGGTCAGAGGGAGAAGCAGACTCCCCACTGAGCAGGGAGCCCGATGCGGGACTTGATCCCAGAACTCCAGGATCATGACCTGAGCCGAAGGCAGTCGCCCAACCAACTGAGCCACCCAGACGCCCCAGGAGAAACCTTTTTGAAGGACAGTGTCATCATTTTAATTTTTTCAAAATAAAATATTACCTGTCTCTTGATCTAGAAAATCTTGTTTGGGGACCATAAAGCAATAGGTGTAAGGATATGTGTAAGTAAGGATTACTTATAATAAAGTGTAAGGAGATTGGCAGAATAAACTGTAGAACAGTGAGAAGAATGTGAGACTATAAGACTGGTTAAAGAGAAAAAGAGGAAGTCAGTCTCTGCATATCAACATGGAAAAATGTCCGTCACATTTGTAAGTGAATGTGTTTATGTGATACGGCCCTGTTTGTATAAATTGCTGCATACAGTATCTGCTTACACTTACCAAAGAGAGGACCTGGAGGACTCTCCACCCACACTGTCACAGTGGGTAGTTCCACATGTGAGAATGGGGGTGGGGAGGGCAGTGCAAGATGACAAGGGACCTTTCTTTTTATACTCTGTGTGCTTTTAATTTCTCTTCTTATACCAAACCTTGTATTACTTCTGTTTATTATTTTTTATTTTTATTTGTTTAAAGATTATTTATTTATTTGAGAGAGAGAGACAGAGAGAGTACAAGCAGGTGGAGAGGCAGAGGGAGAGGGAGAAGCAGACTCCCTGCTGAGCTGGGAGCCAGACGTTGGACTGGATCTCAGGACCCGGAGATCATGACCTGAGCCGAAGGCAGACGCTTAACCATCTGAGCCACCCAGGCACCCCATGTAATTTTTTTATTTTGATTAAAAAAGACATCTCTTAAAATTCCAGACAGCTAGGGCATTTCACTATTCCCTGCCTATCTATCAGACCCTTTTACTTAAAAACTAATTGGGAGTGAACACAAGCTGATTAATGAAGATGTTGGAAGATGGCTTTCTTTCATTGCCACATAGCTTTCCTTAGAATTATACTGAACCACGAAATTTAGTACTGTGTACCACAGAGTCCACTCTGATCTGAGAGTAAGGTCATGGTTCTTTTAAATGCACCCACATGGTAATCGGATAGACTTGAGCCTTCAGAGTGGTTCAGCCACATATTTCAGAAATTCAAGTAAGAATTGCATGTGGGGCCACCTGTGTCACTCAGTCCGTTGAGCGACCGACTCTTGATTTCAGCTCAAGTCATGGTCTCAGGATCGTGGGATGGAGCCCCATGTGGGGCTCTGTACTGGGCGTGAGTCGGCTTGAGATTCTTTCTCTCCCCTCCCACCCGCCTCGCACTTGCGCACCCTCTCTCTCTCTCAAAAAAAAAAAAAAAGAATTGCCTGTGTTAAAAATTACACATTATGCAGCAAATTCAAGAAGTATCTGATGTGGGGCGCCTGGGTGGCTCAGACCCCCTGCTCAGCAGGGAGTCTGCTTCTCCCTCTGACCCTACCCCCTCTCATGCTCTCTCTGTCTCATTCTTTCTCTCTCAAGTAAATAAATAAAATTTTTATAAAAAAAAAATATCTGATGTGTTAAGGCAGTGCCGTATTCCAGACTGTCAGCGTTGGCACCTGTTCTGTGCATTTGGGGCCAGAGCAATGTATCCATCCTCTTTGGTCTGTTGCCTATGTATAAAATTGGGTATTGATACCTGTGACCTATCTTTATATATAAAGATATATATCTTTACCCCTCTGTGTGTAAAATAAGGTTGTGGCTCTTTCTTTTCAAAAGAAAGCTGTGAATGGAAGGATGCAATTAATGAATTCCTCCAGCGCAGGCGTCTGCCTTCCCCTGATCGGCTGCCCTGCTTCTTGCATTTAGCCTCCAAGTACCCTGAGTTAGCTGTGGTTCTGGCAGCACAGCCTCCTGTTTCACTCTCCTGCACTTTTGCTGATGCTCTTCCATGCGCTTGAACCCCTTTGCCATCATTTCTTTACACAGCTCTTCCTTACCCTTCCAGACTCGGTGTAGGCCTCCTCTCTTCCAAGAAGGCATCTCTAAGCTCCCAGCAGGCTTAATCACCTCTCCTGTGTGTTCCTGGGGTCCCGTGCCTCCCTCTGCTAGCACTTACCTATTATATTAAAATATCTGTCTAAGAATCTATTCTACTACACCGTAATGTCCTTGAGGCCAGGGAGCACCTAACTCAGTGCCTAGCAAATAGGACGCATGTGGTATGTTTCTTGAACTAGACAAGAAGACTGCCTGTGAAGTATGCATTTGTTCCCCAAAGAGGCAAGTGATATCTTAGGCCAGCCTTTTGGAACCAACATTTCATAAAAACAATTACAAAGAAGGATTTGGATGTAATATGCTATGAGTTCCCAGGGGCAATAAAACTTCTGGAAGGAAGTATGGATCAAGATAATACTTCTTGCTGTCAGTTTTTTTTCTCTGATAGGATTCTTTACCAATGAATGGGCTCATTGATTAAGAATTATAATAAAGCCCTTGCTCCTATCCCCAAATATTGGGGTACCATTTGTTGCAATATATGAGAAAAAGTAGCATAGGAAAGATCTAGATTTTGATTAAGCAAACTATTCCATCACTTTAGTTTATAGAGAAGTATAGTATGAGATAGCAGTCCAAGGTCACACTGCAAAGTACAAGGGTGAGTTTATTAAATGCCAAACCCCTTTACAAGAAGGAATGTGACCTAACCAGGAAGTAGAATGGGGAGGGACTGCAATATAATAGTGCATTTTTCTTAGTGAAAAGGCTTTGATCCATCTTTTGAGCTGATAAAAGTTCTGAGTCCTACAACGCCTCTGCTCCCCATTCTTTCACTCTCATCTTTTTCTTCTAACCTGTCTTAAGGAAAGGGAGGGCTTAGATAGAGAGCAGAGTGAACTGAAGAACCACTGTAGATTTTGGTTCATTTGTTTTGCCCTGTCTCAGTCACCCTGTAAAATAAAACCAATTCTCCATCCATACATACGGCACATGAGTCATAGTATTTGGTCAGTTTATTTTCAGGAAATTCTCTATAATAAACAATTACACATAAGTGCTCTCTGCTTGTCCATGGAAGTCTTTGTTGGAAATGAGTAGGAGAGCACCACTTACCAAACAGCAAATACCTTTCAGCTCTCCTTAGTCATTATGCTTCTGTCATTTAAACCCTGCACAACGTGGTTGGAAAGTAGAGATGGGAAGCTGTAGCTGGGTGGTCGAGGGATAAAGCTAGAGGCAGGCCAGTGGTCAGGGGTAGAAGCAGATATGAAGAGGATATATTCAATTCAAGAATCATGACACTTAGGTCAGGCTAATCTGTTAGCTCAGGAGTAAGTAAACATATCCACTGGCCAGATGTGTCCGTCTCAGGTTGACTCCATCGGGAGACCTGCTGGTAGGGAAGACAAAGAATCCAGAACTAGGGGAGGAAATCCGCTATGGACCTGGCCTCGAGAAGCTTTATCTGGAGGATTATGGTACTCTCAAGCTCCTTGTGTACTTGTTTTGTTAAGATAATGTGGGTGGAGCATGTGAGCAGGATTATCGAGGAGTGAGTGGCTCATCTAGTTTAGAACAGGACATTGACAGTAGACAGTAGCTTGCAGGACGAGAAGCATAGTGCCAGAACCCCAGGCATAGGGGCTGATATTTAGGGAAGGTCTTCATTCCAAGCAGGGGGCATAAGATGTGATTGAGAAAAAATAGGTTGAACTCTGTTAAAACACAAAAAGAATTTGAGAGGAAGGTGTTCAGAGGCTTACCTCCCTATTTCAAAATTCTTCAATCTCCACTGCCAACACCCAGAGGAAGTTTAGATTCCACTGTATATTTCTGCCTATGCTCTAGAGTAACTCAAATGCTCAGCATGTGGTGTCTCACACAAGGTCCCTCTGTCCATGGCAAACTTGTATATTCATTGAGTAGTGGTTTTGCATTTAGAGCAAGTTAGGCTGTTGTCCATCTACTGGATGCACTAGTCATATTTCCTCCATGATGATCACATTACGGCCCCAGGAGGTGGGCGAAGAGGCAGTGATCCAGGCACTACACCTTGGATGAGCAGAGTAGTCACAGGTTTTGAGGAAGTAACTGTTACAGATGGACCATATAGACTAATTTGTCAAAGTGCTTCAATACAATATATAAAAAGATTTGGGGAAGGTCCCTACACGTGAAATGTATGGAATAAGCCAACTTTGCTGAGAAAGCATAGCAAAAAGGAGTCAAAGAGAAAGAACTCTGCTGCAGTCCTCATCAAGGAGAGGAAAACAGCCGCTGAACTCAAGTTTTTAGACCAAGAAATCCTACCATCTTAGAGTGACGCTTTCAGCTCTTCATGGGGCCTGAATGAAAAATAAAAGCTCATCCTGTACTTTCACGCTAACTCACCAAATAACCATCATAGCAGAAGTTTGGTGTCTTGAGTTTGCTCCTTTGCTAGGAAAGGAGAGTCCTGAGTGGACAAGGAGTCTGAGTTCTCAGTAAAGAATGGCCTCCATCCCTGTTTGTGTGGCAAAAATCAAGAAATAAAAATACTAGAAATAAGGAGATAAAGAGGAAAACAGTAGCACGAACCAAGTCCTACCCTCCCCCAATGCCAACACACACACACACACCCTAAAACAAAGAAGTCACAGACCCTTGGGCTTGTCCATGGTAGGATGACCACAGGGCCAGGATTGGGACCAGGAGTAGGGCCAGGTCCTGCTTTGGTGGTAAGGGATCAGTGGACGTCAGCAACACACGAGTCCTCCCCTAGCCACGGTTTTGTTTTCACGATTTCAGTTACCCACGGTCAACCGCAGTCTGGAAGCAGATGACCCTCCTCCTGATGTATCATCAGAAGGTCAATAGTAGCCTAACACTATGTCACAGCACCTATGTCATGCACCTCACTTCATCTCATCATGTAGGCATTTTATCATCTTACGTCATCACAAGAAGGGTGAGTGTAATACAATAAAATATTTTGAGAGAGAGACCACATTCACGTAACTTTTATTACAGTATGTCGTTATAATTGTTCTATCTTATTGTTGGTTATCATTGTTAATCTCTTCCTGTGTCTATAAGTTAAATTTTATCAAATGTATGTATGGGAAAAAGCATAGTATATATAGGGTTCAGGCATCCACTGGGGGTCTTGGAACATATCCCCCGTGGGTAAGGGGGACTGCTGAACTTTTGGTCTAGCCCTTTGGGTTACTCTGTAGCAGCATCAGTCACTCCTATGAGCAGGGATCATGGTATAAAGCTTATATATAAAAAGGAATGGAATAGGCAATGTTTTAGTTTCTGACTACAGTACCTTTGTGTATATAGAAATTGCTTTTGAATAAGTATCTTCTAGACATTTAAAAAAGAAACTTGGTTACCTTTAATGTAATTTTAACATAAATAGCATCTGCTTTACTTCTTCTATTTCTCCAGGAATTACCTCCTTATAACGGTTATGGACTTGTTGAAGACTCCGCTCAGAATTGCTTTGTTCTCATTCCAAAGGCTCCTAAAAAAGATGTTATTAAAATGCTCGTGAACGATAACAAGGTGCTTCGTTATTTAGCTGCACTGGTGAGGATGATTTCCGTGTGCTAAGATTCCGTTCGGTCTCATTACTGTGCCCAGTGGTCCTTTTTGTCTGTTAAGCTATAGGGTAACAGTCTTCAGAGTCGTGTGTTATTTAAACAGCCACGGGACCCAGTCCCCAGCCTCTGGGTGGGTTGGGTAGTGTTAGCAGTGGTGCCCTGAGCCAAGACCTAGCTCTAGTCCTATCTCCTGGAAACATCGTTCTTAGACTGTTAATCTCTCCCTTCTACCCCTCAAATTTTGACTGACGTTTTTGCCTTTTTTATTAAGTAATTATGAAAGTCTGACACAGTGAAATTATCTGTGTACTTGCGTGCAATCGAGTGTACTGTGATTTCCTTGAGGGTAGGGACCATATCTTACTAATTTTTATCATTACTTGTGATATCTAGCTTGATGTATTTTGTATTTCTTAAATGTAATAAATGGGATCCTACCAATTTAATAGATAATTGCCTTTGAGAGGTCATATGGCTAGTGGATTAAGAGCATGGGTTTGGAAACAGACATAAATTTAAATCCTGAATATTCCACTCATTGGCTGAGTTACCTGAGGCAAATTACTGATAGGAGTTCAAAGGGTAATGTCTTTAAAAATGGAAAATATACAGAAATAGGAATATAAGCATTTTATTTAGAAATATGGATATAAATAGAAATTGAAATAAGTTACTTCTGGGAACAGGAATTGGGAGTGTGGGAGGTGGGCCAAGTGATTTTTCAAACTGTATGCATATATTTGAAAAAATAAAAATTAAATCAAGACATAGTTGGCTACTATATTTTAGAAAAATGTTGAACAAAGCTTTAAATAAAAAGGAAGTTCTAGCAAACTCTAGGCCAAGTAGCATACTCCCTACTATAAAAATTCCGATTAATGAACGTTTTACAGTATTACCAAGTTCTCTCAGTTGGGAGGGCTTCCTAGTTTCCATCAACGTTCTGTTTCTTGACCTGGGCGGTGGTTCCACGAGTGTTCACTTAATGAAAATTCTTTGAACTGTACATTTTGGTTTTTTGCCGTCTTTCTCTATGCATGTTATAGTTCACAGTAAAAAGTGTATACATATAAAAGAAATAAAGTATGCTAAACTCAGACAGGCAGTTGGGGCCTAAGTACAAGTATGGCTAGTGAAGTATCTGGGGCTCAGGGTGGAGTACTGGCGGAGGGACTTGGGGAAGCTCGAGAAGGTAAGAACTCGACTTGAGCAGTGGTCTCCACAGCAGCAGGCTTGGCCTTCCAAGGAGCCTGAGGACAGCTTATACTCCATGGATGCTCTGAAGAAAATGTTACAGCCTCTGCTTATAATTTATCAGGAGTATACTTTTTTTTTATAGCCCCTGATGTTTTTATATGTACTTTGTAGGGCACAGAACATGTTTATGTAGAAGAATAGATGTTGAATTATTCATTCATTCAACAAATATTAGAGAACGACTTTGGGCTTGGCATTGTTCTGGGCATTGAGGGTACAGTGGAAAACAAGACAGACAAATCTCTGGCCTCGTGGAGCTTACATTCCAGTTAAGGGTATTCTGGTCAAGAGTAAATACATCATCAAAGAACAAGTAGTAAGCGTGCTGTGAAAAGTAATGCAGGAGACAGAGTGATGGGGAGGCGCTCGTTTAACTGGTCAATAAGGGAAATGTTGGGGAGGGGACGCACAGCTGAGTGGAGACCAGAATGAATGGTGCAGGGAGCTAGCCAGCAGCATATCTGAGGGAACTGCATTTCATGCAGACGTGGTGTACAGGGAATGGAGGCTAGAGAGACAGAAATGAAGATGGGATCAGGCACCAGCTCAGAGTCTTACAGCCAGTGGCCTAACAAGGCCGCAGGCGTAGAGTGGTGGGAGTAGTCACCCATGATGCAGGTAACAAGGGATGTAGGTAACAAGCCTGCAGACAATTTAAAAATAAACCCAAAAGTTGATCTGCTTCTTACTCTCATTGTGTGCCTGTAATTCTAAATATCAGCAATACAATACTCATCCTCAGGCTGTGCCTCTGTACAGTAGAAATTTCAGTTACTAAATGTGGAAGAGAAGAGGGCAATAAAAAATTACCATTAAGCACACACCACAACAATAATGATTGCAGAGAGTATCCATCAGTGGATGCTAAAATTACCGGAAAATCTTTGAGGAGAAACAATTTTCATAGTTTCAAGGTGTGTTTCTTAAGATATTTATCAACTGCAAAGGGAAAGGTGGTAATTTTAGAAGGGAGAAACCTAGCATTTATCTTCTTACCCACATGACCAAGGTCAACATCACCAATAATAAAATCTATTGATATCGTGAACTCCTTGTTACGCTCTGAGAAAGACAAGATATTCTTTCTCTGGTATTTTTGCCAAAGATGCAAAAATGAGATGCACAAGGGACATTCAACAAAATAATTGACCATTGCTCTTCAAAAGTGTCAAGGTTATGAAAGACAAGGACAGAATGAGGAACTGTCACAGATTGAAGGAGATCAAAGAGAAAACAGCTAAATGCAATGTGAGATCCTGTATAGGATCCTGAGTCAGAAAAAGAACATAAGTGAAAAACAGGTGAAATTTGAATAAGAACTGTGATTTATTTAATAGTATTGTGCCATTACTATTTACCGTTACCGTTGTACCATTACTCTGGGTCTGATAATTGTATGGTTATGTAAGTTGTATAAGATGCTAATGTTAGGGGAAGCTTGGTGAGGAGTATATGAAAATTCTCTATTGTTAATGCAACTTTACACTTAGTTCTAAATAAAAACATAACGATTTTTTTTTTAACTTTTAAAATACTCCTAAAATACTCCTGCCAGGATGAACCATTGGCTCTGTCCCCTCCTACCCCCTTGGTACAGACCTGCCTGCCTGTGCTCAGAACTTCATAGTTTTTTCAGTGTGATGGGAATCCTCTGGAGGTTTGAGAGCAGAGGAGTGATGTGATTTGATTTTTATTAACTATATTGTGGATGTTTGTTTAAAAATTTTTTATTGTTAGAGTGTCTAATTGAAAAAGTTTGGAGACTGTTAGATTAGGGAATGGTATGAGGAAATTATTTGACAAGAGGAAACCCAGTGACTTTCTTTGATAAACAAGAAATTATTATACAAGAAATTCCATGTTGTAAATGAAAAGATATGTGCTGAAGTTGCAATTTGAGAGGATTTTAGTCAAGAATAAGCATGTCTGTATTTAAGCTTGTTCAATCTGGAATTGGTTTCTTAGGTTATGTGATCACTCTCAGTGATTTGATATAGGAACAGTCTTACTACAAGATAGTTTGCCAGAATCAACTTCAACTCTATGACATTATATTACTCATTCCTCCTTTCTTAAATTTTCTTAATAAATTATGTATATCAATGGATTTGTTTAAAGAACTAAACTTTGCATAATCATCTTAGTGTCTGTGAAACTGAACATGTCAGCCAAGAGGTCTCAAACTGTGGGCAGCCTGTGGGCAGAACATAGCCCACATGTTTTATTTGGCACACATAGTGCTTTAAAAGAGTTAAGGTCAACATTTTTTTCTTAAAGATTTTATTTATTTATTTGAGAGAGAGAGAATGAGAGATAGAGAGCACGAGAGGGAGGAGGGTCAGAGGGAGAAGCAGACTCCCTGCTGAGCAGGGAGCCCGATGTGGGACTCGATCCCGGGACTCCAGGATCATGACCTGAGCCGAAGGCAGTCGCTTAACCAACTGAGCCACCCAGGCACCCAAGGTCGACATTTTTAAATCAGGGGTTTTATTTTTTTTCCGAGTTTTTGTTTAAATTCCAGTTCATTAACATACAGTGTAATATTAGGTTCAAGTGTAGAATTTAGTGATTCATCACTCACATACAACACCTGGATTTCTGTCTTCCCGTGAGAAATGGGAAGATCCCACAACATTGAGCTTACATTTGCACAAGGCAGCAACCAGTCGGAGTTGAGTTGGGGCAGCCTCCTTTAGATGAGGCATGTCCTTTCCAGACCACCACAGTCCCCGTCCCCCATCCTGTTCACTTACATTATACTTTGTGTATTTGGTTTATATTTTATACCTTGTCCTGTAGAATCTTAAGTTTGGAACATTGGGGTCTATCATGTCCCTTCATAATAATTTCCTTTCTTCTCCTGTCTAGGAATCTCCCATCCCGGAAGACAAAGACCGCCGATTTGTCTTCTCTTATTTTCTTGCCAGTGACATGATCAGTATCTTTGAGCCACCTGTCCGCAATTCTGGCATCATTGGGGGCAAGTACCTTGGCAGAACTAAAGTTGCTAAACCGTCCTCAACAGCGGAAAACCCCATCTACTATGGCCCGACTGACTTCTTCATTGGTGCTGTGATTGAGGGTAGGTCGAATCACAGCTTAATGTTTCCTACCTGCCAAGTGAATGGATTCTTCTTAGTGGGAATTTAATTCGTTTAACTTGTAAGAGGCAGTTAGGCTGCATTCCACCTGAACTAAAGCTAATATTCTTGTATATGTGATAACAGTGTCTTGATCCATGTCAATTAAACTGTAAGGTGGTCGCATTTGTGGGCTATAGATGTAGACCCCGAGCTTCCTGAACACTGAGTGAACTACTGCATATTAGTTTAGAGAGCTATGGAATGTTCCTTCGTCTAGGTCACAGATGCCTATCTGTGACCTTGTCATTGGAGGATCAGTATTATTTTACCCCTAATGGCCTGATTAAAACCATAACCAAGCTAAGTGTATTTCTACCCTCTCCCCAGTGTTTGGCCACCGATTTGTCATCCTTGACACAGACAACTATGTTCTGAAGTATATGGAGAGCAATGCTGCCCAGTATTCACCAGAAGCACTCTTGTCCATTCAGAACCGTGTTCAAAAGCAAGAAGGTCCTGCGCCAGAATTGGAAAAGTATGTTTGACCGTCTAAGGTCCAATTTGGCTTTGGCACATATAAAATATTTAGGAAATAGTTCTTGATAAAATGAATGGGTAATAGACGTTTAGATTTTCCTCACCAAATGGGAGTTATTAGACATACACAGAAGGTTCTCTGGGGGTCCATTATAATAACTAGTAACTTAGAACTTTTTCAACTTCATTTATTTAGCAAATAATTATTGAATGCCTAATATATATCAGATACTATCACTAGGCCCTTGGGCTTTTATCAGTCAACAGAATAGACCAGAAGTTGCTGCTCTCCTGGAGTTGACCTTCTAAGCAGTAGGAGAGGGAGACAACCAATAAACAACACAAGTAAACTGTATAGCACATTAGGGGATGAATGCTATGGAAAATGGAGAATAAGAGTGATAAGGATTTCTGCAGGATGATGGTGGGTAACAGTTGATCTGGGGAGCCAGGTACACCTTGAGAAGGTGACAGTGAGGAAACACTTGACAGAAAAGGAGTCAGATATGTGGCTATTTGGAGGAGGAGCTTTCCAGGAAGAGGGACTGGCAAGTGCCAAAGCCCAGCCTGCCCAGAGTTCTGGAAAGAAGCAGGCCGGTGAAAGCAGCAAGAGTGAGGGAGTGAGAGGAAGAGGAGGAGGTGGGGTGAGAACATAGCCCCGTAAGAAGGGGCTAGATCCTGTAGGACCCACTGGGTCTTTGGAAAGATGCTGACTTTTCTCTGAGTAAAATGGAAAGCCACTGTGGGGGTTCTCGGGAAAGGACTGGCCAGATTTGGCACGTGTTTTACAAGAACTCGCCTGGCTGCTGTGCTGAGACTAGATCAGGAGGGAGACCAGTTAGGACCATGTCATAGTAATCCAGGCAAGAGGTGAGGGTGTGTGGACCAGGTGCATCAGTGAACGTGGAGAAAAGTCTGAGTCTGGATATATTTTGAAGGTAGAGCCAATAGGTCTTGAGACAGATTATACAGAGGATATAAGACAGTAGTTAAGAATGACTCTAAGGTTTTTGGCCTAAGCAACTAGAAGGAAGGAGTTGCCATCAACTGAGATGGGGAAGATGTGCATTGTGGGTAGCAGAGGAGGGATTTTTTGGTTGGGGGAAGGATTTCGGTTTTAGCTATTGTAGGAGTGCTGACCACACTGACTCCATCTTTGGCCCTCCATTTTGTTCATGTCCACGCAACATCCCTCCTCGGGGCTATGTGTTCCTGGTCCCGTGGAGGTTAATGTCTGCCCTGATGGGATTGCAGGAGGCTTGTTCTGATCTTCCCTAAAGTGGTGAACAGAAGACCCCACTTTAGGTAATTAGTAGAGATGGCTGGCCCACAGAAGGCCCCACTTTAGGTAACTAGTAGAGATGGCTGGCCCACAGAAGGCCCCACTTTAGGTAACTAGTAGAGA